TCTCTCTGCCTCTCATTCTCTTTTTGTGTAACTCTGACTTTCAAATAAATAAATCTTAAAAAAAAAAAAAGGAAAGAAATTGGCTCACACCAGAAAGTCTTTTCAGCAACTCAGAAGCAATTCCCAATAAAGAACCCACCCTTTGGGTGTCCACTCTTGCTATTTCCTTCACGGCACTTAACCATAATTTGCAACTGCCTTGTTTATGTGTTTGTTTACCTACTTAATGTCTGTTAGTGAGGGAGGAACCAATTCCCCATCCACCCATTTAACCCCCATGGCTAGCCCATTGCAGCACTTGGCAGATAACCCATGAACTTTGGTCACCTTCCAGCAGTCCCGGTCCCAAGAGAAAAGAGAAGGGCTGGTGTTTTGAGTCAGTTGTAGACATCAGCACCCCTTATCAGAGGTCTGGTTCAAGCCCTGGCTACTCCTCTCCCAATCCACCTTCCTGCTAATGGGCCTGGGAAAGCAGCAAAAAGATGATCCAAGTGCTTGGGCACCTGCCATCCGGATGGAGTTGCAGGCTCCTGGTTTTGGCTGGCCTGGCCCAGAGTTGGTTTTCGGGGAGTGAACCAGTAGTTGCAAGATCTCCATCTCTCTCTCCTCCTCTCTCTGTCTCTCAAACAAACAAACAAGCCTTTGAAAGAGAGAGAGGGAGAGAGGGAGAGAATACCAGTGCTAGCCATTGCTGTGGACCAAGTGGGCTGTGGTCCCTTCTCCCACGTTTGCTAACTGCAGTTTGTTAACTGCTAACTTTGCTAAAGCAAAGTTCCAGGAGGCTCCATCTCATACCCTCTCTGGCTGTGGTGACGAAACTCAGTTCACTGGGGCCAGGTCCTTGTTTGCTCTCCGTGAGCACAGACCTCTGTGTGTGTGTGTGTGTGTGTGTGTGTGTGTGTGTGTGAGAGAGAGAGAGAGAGAGAAGTAGGAACACAGTCTGAATATAAATGGACTCAGACTCAAGACAGCAAATACTCTCACACACTCGTCCTGCAAAGGCCAAGTGAGCACCTGTTGTGTGTGTGCGTGGCTGAGTGTTGCGGTGTCTTGGTTCTGGGACTGCACATCAATGCCCTTTGGGGGTCTGAGCCCCCCAGTAAATGCTGCTTTGCAATTGGACTTTCTCCCTTTGGCCGTCAGACTGCTGCCTAAGTTAATAGAAGCCTCTAAGCCTTAAATTGGGCACTGATGATGCAACTTTGCCCTAACACCATTGTGCAATTTGAGGCACAGGCGCTATGTTTGAAATACAGGTGCGGGAATAGATCTTGGTGATACGATCGGAAAGGATTGGCACTCAGGCGGCCCAGCCCCTGCACACCTGGCTCACTGCAGGTGAGAACTGCCAGGAGCCCTGGGAAGGAGGGGGCCTCAGGGCCTGTGTCCCAGCACAGCCTGGGTGAGAGATACCCACTGCACTGCGACCCCAACCATTGTTGTCATACCTGTTGGAACTCAGGCAAAATCACAGCCTTCTCTCAGGTCTGACGCTGGAAGGGGCAGTCCCAGCTCCCCAGACCCACACCATCCCCCCCACCGCGGATAGGGGTGTTGTGGGAGGGTGCTGGGAGGTGAGTGCTGTAACATTTCCTCGCCTCTGGCCAGGGACCCACAGGTCCTCCCATCCAGTGTACAGAGAGCGGGCAGTGGCCTGAGCGTCCGTCCCTTGCCCACCTGGTTATGGGAATAGCAGCCCGCACACCTGGGAACTAGAAAGCGGATACTCAGTCAGACTAGCGGGGGACACAGAATGAATCGGCTCCAGTCCTGACAAGTCCTGGCGTCAATGAACCTCGTGGAGGTCAGGGGCGTGGGGGGGGGTGGGGGGTAGGGGGAGTGTGAGAATATGCCTCTGCCGTCAGCCCGCCTCCTGAGGTCACGCTGGGGACCAGCAGGAGAGCAGCCATTGGCTGGGGGGAGAAGGGGACGTCCAAGGTGGGGTGAGGAGTAGGAAGAGACGAGTTTAAGGCCTCGGTCTCTGGGTCAAGTGCAGCGACCCTGGCTGTTAAGCAGGACACAGGCAAGGTCAGAGCAGCGTTTGTCATGGGTCTGGAGGCAGCGGAGCCCCCCAGGGGCCACTGGGTCTCCCTGCTGTGTCAGCACAGCTCACGGCAGTGCCTCTTGGTGGCTTCCAACATCAACAGGCTGACACCCCTTCCCTCGGCCAGAGTGGAGGCGGGGACCGTGGCCTCGCGCTGCCCTGGACAGGTGACAGGAGCATCTGGCTGCTGCCCGCGGGGCACGTCTGAAGGGGACCTCCTCCTCGCCCTCTGCCCTGGGGCTCCCGAGGCCTCCGCCAGCTTGCCCAGCCTGGCTTTCCCCGCCAGAACCTAGAGAGGAGGCACTTGGGCCCACACCCAGGACCTGCCACGTTCCGAGCCCTGGCTGGGAGAGGCGCCCGGCCTGGGAAGGCTTCGCTGAGCCCTGAGCACCCGCAGAACAGAGGCCCCTGAGAGGGCCTCTCTCCCCAGCCTCCTGCCTGCCCCCAGCCTCTTGGCCCCCTCCCCATGGCTTTGAGTTTCAAGCAGAGAGAACTGGGTAGGAGAAGGAAGTCACAGTGAGCGTGGATTCGGGAACCGGCTCGCCCAGCCAGGCCTCCAGTGATGACAGAGAGGCCCTGTGTGGAACAATGGGGCTGGGCTGGGGCCAGGTGCAGAGCCCAGGTGGAGCCGGGGACCTGGGCGGGGGTGAGGCGCAGTGGAAGAGGGGGTGCGAGGAGAGTGCTGGATCGTGGCAGCCGCCAACGGCCTGGCTCTCACAAACCAGGGCATTTCTGGGGCTTCTCGTCTCCACCGTCAGGTGAACGGCGACTTCCTCACAGGCGCACAGCGGGCGTGAAGCAGCCAACCTGCAGGAATCCAGCACAGAACGCCGCATCGGCGGCTCGCACACTCCCCGGACTTCCGTTGTCGTCGAATGCATGCCCCAGGACGCCCGGCAGGATCTGTCACTCACTGGGCAGACAGCCATGGCCTGGAACGAGGTGGCTGCGATGCGACCCAGGGCGGCTCCAGCAACACAAATGTTTCCTCCGCAGCTCCGGAGGCCAAGGGCAAGGTGTCCCAGGGAGGGGTTCTCTCCTCGGCGGGCAGGGGCCGTCGCCTCCTCCTGGGTGTCCACCTGGTCTCCCCTGGCGTGTGTCCTGCTGTCTCCGCGTGTCCTCTGCTGTCTTTGTAGTTTCATCCCTGTTCTGTATCCTGGGGTTCCCGGGGGGTCTCCCTGCCCGGGTCCACCCGGGCACCACGGGAGAGGAACGCCTCTGTACAGGTGTCCATTGGGTTACCCTGCTCAGCCAGGCCTGAGCCCACTTCCCAACACACAGACACACTTTCCCGTCTGTGAAATGGGCCTCCGTGGCCTTTCCTGCCTGCCTGATCGAATCTAAGCTCCATCAAACACCAGCTGCATGTGCACCCCAGGTGTGTGTGACCACGTCCCAGGGAGAACGTCCCTGAAACCGTTAGATTTCCACAGAAAAGGTGACCTTGAGGACGAGGAAGGGCTGGAGAGAGCGAGCCGCTGGTGTCCGCGCCTGCTGACTCGGGAGACTCCAGGCCCAGGAACGTCCCTGAAACCCGGTGGCGCGCGCCTGTGAAAGGCTGAGGCTCCGTGTTTGTGCGTCTCCCGGCCCCGCGACCCTCGGGCCCCGCCGGCTTCCACGGACAGCCCTGAGAGACCCCGGCCCCGCCGCTGTGCGGGCGCCGCATCCCGCGTCGGTGGGCACAGCGACCCCTGGCGGTCCGCGGGCTCCAGCGAGACCGTGGTTGTCTCGGCCATCGCCCTGGGCCTCTGAAGCTGGGCCAAAAAATAAACCCCATTTTTTAAGAAGAAGCCTTTGCCCACCGCGGCCACGCTCCGGGCAGTGCCCTTCCACGGGCTCCCCACGGCCGTGGGGTTCCTGGGTTTGCGCCCAGAGACCAGCAGGGGGCAGGATTTCCCCCTCTCCTCCCAGGGACAGCGGCGCCCGCACTCTCGGCTCGGCCGCGGCCTCCTGCGCGCACGGCCCCTGGCCTCCGGCCGCGTCCCCCCGACTTCTCGGCGCCGGCTGGGGGGCCGCGAGTTCCCACCGGGGGCGTGGGGGTGCGGGGGTCCCGGCCGGGGTTGGGGTCCGCGACAGCGTGCGCGGGTGCCTGAGACGTCGGCGCCCGCACCCCAGCCCCGCGAGGCGGGCTCCTCCGCGTGCGAACTCTCCTGGGTCCCCGCTGCCCGGGGCAGAGGGGCGGGCAGAGAAAGGCGGCGGGGCCGAAGGACTGGTCGGAACCATCCCACGTCCCGGGCCAGAAGTACCGTGCGGAGGGGAGAGAGAGTGAGGACTCTGAGCATGCGCACCACGCCCTCGCTAGCCTCATTATCTCCTGGGCGACAGACACGAGTAGGTGCCTCGTTAGCGCAGTAGGTAGCGCGTCAGTCTCATAATCTGAAGGTCGTGAGTTCGATCCTCACACGGGGCACAATACTTTTGTTCGCTCTCATCTGGTTTTATTTGCTGTTAAGTTTGGGGCGGAAGATAAAGGGTCCCCTGCTGGAGGAAGGCTTGCGGGCCGGACACAGTGAGCGAATCCCGCGGAAAGAACCATCGGGTAGGCACCCGGGGGAATCGGGTGTCTCGGTCCAAGCTACACCCACCGCGTGTGTTCCTACTGGACCTGTGAGCTCTGACCGACGGGGGGCGAGGGGCCTGCCTGCAGCCCGCAGTGCTCGGCTGGAGACTTTGGGCCTGGGACTGACCTCAAGCCTGGGGTGACAAGCAGGACTGCATTGTGGAGCCGCAAGTCAGGTCTGCGGCCAGCACGTCTGGAGTCTCCTGTTATGTCTACTAGGTGGCTTATCTGTTTGATCTTTATGTTTGAATCTCGTCCCCCCCCCCCCCCCAAAATCACGGAGCCTCTCAGGGGGTGGCATCTCCTGCCGTCCCCTGCAGGCAGCAGAGCCACCTAGGGGCTTTCAGGTTTGCGGGCCTTGCACGCAGGGCCTTGAAGAGTCACTGGGGCCCAAAGCTCCTGCTGTGATAAATCCACTCCTACATTCCTAAGCCTTTGGATACCTGCACGCCAGGGGAATCCTGGCATCTTAAGCTTGCTAAATAAAAGCCAACGGTAAGCCCGCATCTCTGCCAGGCAAGCAAGGAAGCTGCAGAGCTCCCGGCAGGTGCTCGTGTGTGCCGGTTACTGCCTCGTCTCACCTCCAAGTCCACTTTTCTGTGCTTTATAAAGGCCTGGACTTTCACCCCACGTCCCGGTTGGTGCGTTATTAAACTGCCGCTAGAGGGCGCTAGAGCGACGTCGTAGGAGAAATGGGCCTCCTACTCGCTCCAGGGTTTTGCGCTTCTTGGCTGCTCAGTGCTTCTCCTGGGTGCGTGGGGACAGCCAGGGGTGCTCTTGCCCTAGCCGTGCGCCAAGGAGGAAGCACACTGACTCCTCCTGACTTCACAACCCCAGCCTGGCCTTGACCTTTAACGCTGGCTCTGTCTGTAGGTCCCCCTGATTTCGCTTTGTGGCTTTACAGTTGCTCCCCTATCCTGTTTTAGTTAGGCTTTTTCTAAAGGTCCCCCTGTTCAAGTCAGTGTGCGGTTTACTCTTGCTCGGACCCAGGGTGATACGCGGAGATTCCACGTCACATCCAGAATCTCCGCCAAGTGCTCCCGGATTCATAAAGGAAGCCCCACTTCTTGAATTCCACTCTGCAGAACTTTGTCAAGCGCCCTTGTACAGCTCACTGTGTCAGGCTGTCCCAGCGCTCTAGAACTGGAATGCTCGCAGGTGTAGCTGAGTCCCCGGACATCCCCTTAGTTCATGGCCTGCGACCTCTGTTGCCACACGCAGCAGCCTGGCCTGTGAGGAGGCGGTCAGGACCAGCTGGGGAGGTGAGGAAATCCGGCTGAGGCCGGGGCCCCTGGGGAGCCGGGGCCTCGGGCGACAGCAGATCACTACACTTGCTTCCTGCAAGTGCTTGCTCCACTCTAAGACTACGCTGTGTGACCGGCACACTTAGCACAGGCCCAGCACTGAGTGCGGAACTCCGTATGCCTGGCCTTATTTAACCTCACATTCAGTCCCAAAGCGAGGGGGAGGATGAGGTTGGTGAGGTCACCAGCGGCCAGTGGTGGAGCTGATGCTGCCCGGAGGACAGGCTGTGGTGACCTGTGCGCGTCCTGAGTGCAGGGGTCACGGGCGAAGAGGCCTCCCTGCTGCTGGGCGCCCAGGAGGGCTGGGGTCCAGGCCCCTCCGCACCGCGACCGCTCACGGGTCTCACGGTCGCTGCTGAGACCTCTCTGGCCTGCGTGTTTGGTTGTTGAGCGGGTTTCCTGTTCTTTATGTCCTCATTTATCCTGATAATAAACACCCATCCCCCAAGGTCACTGAAGTTTATGCTATCCTTGTAAACTGAAAGCCAAACACAGCTTGAGTAGTCGCTAAAAAATTTTTATTATGAAAGGTTCAAGGAGCCATTTACAAGCCGAAAGGTATCAAATAGAACACATAATTTTTATGGACAGATTTTTCTATACAAAAGGTTAGTCTTCATAGGAGTTTAAAATAAATAGGCTAAAAATCAGTGTCATTGATTACAAAATAGGCGACTCTCTCTCCAGCTGGCCCAGGTGCCAAGTCTTCTACGTGGCCAGCAGACGAGGGGCCTGGCGCCTGCTCCGAGCCTGGGCGGCGAGTCTCTGGCGGAGGTTCCGCACTTTCTTCATGAGATTCTGCTCTGTGCTGTCCCATTCGACTGCTTTTCGATTTAAAGGAACTTGAAAACAAAATTTAAAATTCACGGTAGTTGAATTGTTGGATACTGGTAATGACATCACCCTCATTCTAAAGGTAAGTGTGCGGCAAAAACCAATAATGGAAGATCCCATCGACCAAACTTGAACAAAAATCCCAACAGATTACCTGGGGTTCCCCCTGCAAGCCAGTGTTTGCTGAGCTGCACGAATGCTATCAAAGAACTGACCTGCTTTGGATGTTAGCATTCTGAATCCACAAACGACCTGAAATGAGGCTCGCGGCTCGCTGCAGGGCGCCTGTGAGCTGTTCCCAACAGGGAGCCTCCCCACCGCACACCCACCGGCCAGGAGCGACGACATCCACGTCACAACACCGTGACCCGAGCACGCCAGCTCCCTCCCTGAGAATCCCAGCAATCAGTCAAATGCTTTTAGCAGCAGCCAGCAGGGGATTCACGTGTGACGGCTGCTTTGCAGCGACGTAGAGAGGCTAAGCAAAAAAAAAATTTTTTTTTTGGAGTGGGGAAGCACCTTAAAAATACACTTCTATGAAATTTAGTTACGTATTCTAATGGTCAACTCCAATGTTTGGAAATATTTCCCTCCCAAAGGCCTACGACTTTTATGTATTTTGTTGTCCTGCCGAGTGACTTAAGCCATTTTACACTTAGAGCCATCGGGTGAAAGCGTTACGCTCTGACGTCAAGTTCTGAAGAGAGAACAGCCGCACACCTCTTGTGCTTCATCCGACTCGCCAGTGATTTCTAGTTTAAATCATTTTTGATACAGAATTGATGCATGCATAAAAAATGACTTCCCACGAGTATTGCACACCACACTGTCACCCCACGACTTGTCAGGACACACACTGCTCACGGAGCTTCGCCGGGGGACCTCATCTAGAAGTTCGCTCTTCTGCCCCTCCTCAGAGGCCTCTAAATCTGGCTTCATTAATACGCAGCCTTGCTGAGAAGGCCGCTTCTCTTTACAATGAACCACATGCGTCACCCGGAGCGCTGCTCCTTGCCGGGCTGCTGCTGTGGCTGTTTCCGTAAGCCATTTTCAGCTTGTGCTTTCCAAACACACACACACACACACACACACACACACACACACACCCCTAACAAAACTGCTCAGCGCACCCAGTTCGGGGGGGGGGGGTGGTCAAGAGTCAGCGGGGCGCCAAGAAGCCCCGTGGTGCCGGGTGGGTGGGCTTCCCGGCACCGGCAGCAGGTGCCCAGTCTCTGTGGCTGTTGGAAGGACCCGGCCCAGATGAGCAGTACAAGAATACAGACACGCAATAACTGCAGAACAACACTGAGCTCTTTTCCCAAGGAGGGGAAAGGAGTTCCGAACCTCGGATCGCTAACGGCTCCTGGCAGCGCCTCGGCCCGCCATCCGGGCGGCAGAGCGCAGGTGCCGACCCGAGCGGCGGTGCCGGGTCCGCCGATGCTGCCCCCGCCCGCTGCACTAGGGGCTCCTCTGGCCTGGGACACGCATCAACAAGCTACCGCCTTCCTGGAAGCCCCAGCTCTGCCTAAGTGTCAGCAGCGCTACGTTTACATCACGGGAGAGCTCTCCCCGCCGATCAGCTTACTTTCCGCCGAGGAGTCCGTTTCAGACACGTGTAGTTGTGAGGTCCTAGGCAGACGGCCGAGGTCGCCCTGTTCATTGCGCCACCCGGACACTTCTGTGAGAAACGAGAGGAGACAGAGGGTGCGAGGGAGTGAGCAGACAGCCTCTTCTATTCCCAAGCAGCCCTTCCGGAAGCGAGAATGTCCAAGGAGGGCTGAGCACACCCTGCTTTCCCATCGTGAGAGCGATGGAGATGCAAAGGGCTGCCTACTTCTGCTTTACAGATTTATTTATTTATTTATTTGAAAGGCAGAGTGACAGAAAGCAGGAGAGGGAGAGAGAGAGAGAGATCTTCCATCCGTCCACTGGTTCACTCCAGAAATGGCTGCAGCGGCTGAGGCTGGTCTCCCACACGGGTGGCAGGCGCCCAAGCACTGGGGCCATCGCGGCTGCTTTCCCGGGTGCAGCGGCAGGAAGCGGAGCAGCCAGGACTGGAACTGGCACTGCAGGACAGGGCGCTGGCGCTGCAAGCTGTGGCTTCACCGGCCACACCGCAATGCCAGGCCCTCGCCGCCTAGTGTGACTGGTTTACGCTGTCTGTATGGTGAAATATTACACTGTACAAATATTACATCTTAATCAAAAATTTTAAAAGTAAAATCATTTTCTTAAAAAGAAGGCAGTCATGATTCAAAAGGAAAGGGGAATATGCTTAGAATTGGGAGCTGAACTTTCGGGTTGTATATTTTATTTATTTGTTATTCAGTGTTTCAAATACCTACAACGGCCAGGGCTGGGCCAGGCTGACACCAGAAGCCCAGAACTCCATCGGGGTCTCCTATGTGGGTGGCAAGGACTCAACTACCTGAGCCATCACCTGGCCTCCCAGGGTGTGCATTAGCAGGAAGCTGGAATCGGGACCAGAACCAGGATTTGAACACAGACTCCAACACGGGGCTTGAGGGCCTCAAACTGCTGCACCAAACATCTGTCCCTTACCTGTTGTAAAAACTCTTAGCGACAACAAACACCTGACAAACAGCTCGGGTGCAGATCCCATTTATTGGAAGCATCGAGACGAGCAAGCCTCCCTGAGAAGCAGGGGTGTCAGAGCTGGTCACCATGGCTTCGGCCAGACAAGGCCTAGTCACAGCAGTGCGCAGCTCGCAGCTCATCAGAACCAGCGACAGGCGAGTTCCGCCTCAAACCTGAACGGCGGCCTGCTCACCCAGCATCACCCCCGCCCCACCCCTGCTTCATCAATCCCCTCCACATCTCAACAATAAGGGAAGCAGGAAGACCAGGCAGGAATACACGAGACACCAACTGCTTAAGTAAACGAAGCAGAGGCCTACAGCGTGGTGGCTGTAGCTAAGATTACGGAAAACTCCGGCAGTCATTCACCATCAAGCTGGGACCGGGACCAGCGCTCCTGTCACCCAGCCTGGTGCTCCTGTACCACCCCATCCAATTCCGCCCATCAGAAATGCCACCTCCTCCGGCCCAGTAACTTTGAAACCTGGTCCAATGGCCCTACCTGCCAACAGCGTTTACTAATGTCACTTAAAAAACAGAGACAGTGTCCTGAGTATATTCACAGTTATAAAATCACTAGTTTTAGAGCATTTTCATCTTGCTAAGAGACCCCATATCCACTAGTAGTCACTTTCCCAACCCCCCCAGGCAACCATTAATCTACTTTCTACCCTGACAGACTCGCCAGCTTCGGAAATCCCACAGGAACAGATGATATTTTGAGGCCTTTTATGGATCTGCCTTCTTTAACTCAGTATAAGGTCTGCCAGGCTCATCGTTTTTGTAGCACGAATTTAGGATGGTTAAATCGCAATATGAGAGGTAATGAGTGGCTCAAAGGTAGGCATAATTAAATGCCTAATTATAAAATCATAGCACCCTTGGCTGACACTGTGGCATAGTGGGCAAAGTCATCGCCTGCAGTGCTGGCATCCCATATGGGTGCCAGTTTGAGTCCCGGCTGCTCCTCTTCTGATCCAGCTCTCTACTATGGCCTGGGAAAGCAGCAGAAGATAGCCCAAGTCCTTGGGCCCCTGCACCTGCATGGTAGAACCGGAAGAAGCTCCTGGGTTCAGATCAGCACAGCTCTGACCGTTGTGGCTACTTGGGGAGTGAACCAGCAGATGGATGCTCGCTCTCTCTCTCTCTCGGAGTCTCCATAACTCTTCTCTCAAATAAATAAATCTTAAATAAAATAAAATCATAGTTTTTAAAATCTGTTTTTTCTTTTCATTTTTTTTTAAAAAGATTTATTTATTTGCAAGTCAGAGTTAACACTGAGAGAGGAGAGGCAGGAGAGAGAGAGGTCTTCCATCCGATGGTTCACTCCCCAACTGGCCGCAACGGCCAGAGCTGAGCCGATCTGAAGCCAGGAGCCAGGACTTCCTCCGGGTCTCCCACGCAGGTGCAGGGGCCCAAGAATTTGGGCCATCCTCCACTGCCTTCCCAGGCCACAGCAGAAAGCTAGACTGGAAGTGGAGTAGCCGCGTCTCGAACTGGTGCCCACACGGGACACTGGCACTTCA